GATGATTGATGATCGATGATCGATGAAACTGAACTAAATGATACTATCAATATGTGAAAGAGTAAAGGTTTTTCAATTATATATGTTGAGGAATTTATCAAAATAAATCTCCCTCTCTCTCATGGTAATTATAAGTGGCAAGATTTATTTTCTTTAATTCCACTCTCTACAGTTAAATGCAAAATATTTATTTTTTGTCACTTCCCTCAATGAATTATCAATCGTGTCTCTCTCTCTCCAAGTAAAAATATAAATAGCCACATTTATTTCCTTTGATTCCACTGTATCTCTACAACTTTACATGCAAATTATTTATTTTTGTCACTTTCTCCCAATGGATTCTCAACGGACTCTCTCTCTCTTCTACATTCTTCCTCTCAACGGAGCTATATATAAGTTGCCTTATCTTTATTTTTCGTGATATCTTTCTTATTAGGTCTTTTTATTTTTTTGAAGTAAATAATATATTAATTAAAAAATAATTATTTGAAATAGATGTGCTTTTTTTCCATTAAAGGCGATTACACTCTCTCTAAATAGGAATGCTTATAACTAAATTTATTTTTATTTTTTATTTATTTTCTTTTATTTTATTATTACTTAGGTAACTTCATGAAAACACATCACATCTTTTTTTAGAGCACGTAATTAGAATATGCATGTAGGTGGATGCTTGAAGGCTTTGTGCTATCTTTTTTCATATTAGAAATTATTTGTGGTGATTAAAATTTATTTATGATGACGTGCTTTGAAGGGGCATTAGTTAATAAATTATGTAATATTAATTATCAATGCTGCAACATTATTTATATATTATAAAATAACTATAATAAATTTATCTTTCTTCCATTTAGACACATACCACTAGGTCGGGCGGGTCCAATAACCTGAACCCTACATGAGTTCCGATTCGGGTCAGATTATAAGAAAATTTATCAAATTACTCATAAGAAATGAACTACTTTTACCTATATGCAGCTATTCCAAACCAACATCATGTGTTTTTCTATGGGCACTTGGAAATCAAATCAAAATATATGGTAAAGTGTTTAATTGTTAATTTTTCATAAGTAATAAGATAATATCCCTTTCTAATATAAATTTATTTGAAATTTATTAAATTACACCTCATTTTTCAACTATTTAACATTTTGCCTTTTTCTATTACTCCTACTCAAAATCATGTATATTTTGAAAGGCTATTTGAAATACAATCAAAACATATAAGTAAATCGTTAAGTAAATAATCTTAAGTGCACTTCAATCAATTTTTGTAATTCATTTATTTATTTCATTTTGTAACTTTTTTGCCATGTTTCAATTCGAAATACCAACCATGAATAAAATAGTAACAATCCAAATGGATGGTCAGTACAATTTGGACGGGTAAATGCAAAGCATAATGCTTTTCCATGGGTTACATACTCTGTGTGTGATTAGGCCTCCCTTACGTGAAAGTAATATTTTCTCTGTCATGCTTTGAATGTGGATGGCCTGCACAATTGCCCTGCTCTCATGTATATTTTTTTTTTCTAATCCAAATATCATTTTAATTTGGATAGGAATAATTATAATGCTTTTTCATTTGAAATTATAATAATGGAGGAGAATTTGAAGTTTCGGACTTTGTTTTTAAAGATTGATTTTAATTTGGATAAGATTTTTGACTTAGAAGAGATCAAACGTAAGTTTGGAAGTTATTTGATATTTAATTATTTTATTTTATTATAAATAATATCCATATTGTTAATAAATTTAATATTTAGTCTAGATAGATGAGGTTTACTCTCCAAAATTAGGTCTATTTGTGTTGAAATTATAGATAAAAAAAATTGATCCATAATAATTTTTGTTTATTTTCTACATTTTTCTGAATTATTCATTTTATTTAATCAAAATCCATGAATCTAAGGTGGAAATGGGTTTACCATGCTTTGGGACATGTTTTGGTTTGAAAACATGATTTTGAAAACATGTCTCACCAAATACTTTTTCTTGAAATATACCTCTCCAAACTCATAACCTGTGTCTTTGAGAGGTTACGCATAATTCAAATTTTGATATTTTTAAAGTAAAAAAAAGCAATCATTTTAAACCAAATATATTTAATTCCTACTTTAATATAGGAAATATTCTCTACTCATCATAATAAGACTGTTCATTATGTATTTCATTAATATTATATGCAAAATGCAATTTCTTAATAACATTTTGTAATTAAATAAGACTTTCTATTCATCCAATATAGTACTAAACATATAACTGGATTCAAATAATACTTCACTGTGCTTGGAGAATTCATAAAAGTTTGAATCCCCTCTGATGCTACTAATATTTACATAAAATATGCTTAAGTAGGTGCATAAATAGAATGTTTGGGAATGCTACTAATATTTACATAAAATATGCTCAAGTGGGTGCATAAATAACATGTTTGGGAATGTAAGAGAAACTAGATCAATATGGAAATTGAGCTCAAATTAACGTTTTCATCAAAAGATAAAGACAAAATTCAGTAGCATTAGGCACATAATCATTGCATATTTCATGGTTAGCGTCTCATATGAGTAAGAAAATGGTGGGTCTTAGAACCAAAAATCTGGAAAAACAACATAATAAATAATAAGCAATATAGGATGCGTTCTTTGCAAAGACCCACTATCCAGTGCATCAGTGGCACCATTAACGGAGCTTAGATTCAAAACCCATTTGCATAATAAGGAAAAGAATATAAAAAACAAAGCTTTCCTCCCTATCTTCTTACAGGCCAAAAGAAACCAGAGATACAGGTCCTAGAAAGAGTGAGGAAATGGGTAGAGAGAGAGAGAGCTTGGAGAGAGAGAGAGAGGGGTTGCTTTTACTCACTAGGGTTTTGGGGGGCTCGTAGTAGAGGGAGTTAGGGGGCAAGGGAGAGCGAAGAAGCCTCTCGCTAGGGTTTTTGATGGAGGTGAAAATCGGAATGTAATTTAGGGTGAAAGTTGCCGCTCACCAAACCCCATGCGCGATTAGAATGTTAAAGCGATTAGTGGAAGGGGAAAAGGTAGTTCTGACTTTACCCCTTTTTTGTTTTCTGTTTTTTTAATGAAATGAAGGCCAAGCCTCTCAAGTACCGGTTGAAATCTTTTTTGAAAAATACATAAAATAATAACATAAAATATGCTATGTTCAAATGTAGGGATAATCATTGGAAGAATTACCTAACTCTGAAGTGTACAAATAACGAATAATACAAATCAAAAGGTTTTTAAACTAGGATCCTTCTTAAATCCATTTCAGATTGCTCTCTCTCTCCCCTCCCCCCAATGAATATTAACTAGCTTTTTGGCTGCAATAGAATCAGGTGACACACATGCTCAATATTGGATAAGTTGTATTGTTAATTATCAATACTTATGGTTTACTGTATTTTAAATTATTTTTGTAAATGGTTTTGTAATCTCAAATATAAAATCTAATCGCATCTTGTAGGAAATTTCAAGTGTAAAATTTAATGGCTTGGTTCAGGAAATTTCAAGTGTAAAATCTAATGGCATGGTTTATTGTATTTTTAACTTTTTTTGTAAATAGTTTTGTAATCTCAAATGTAAAATCTAATCGCATACTGCTGGAAATTTCAAGTGTAAACTCTAATGGCATGTCGTAGGAAATTTCTAGGGTAAAATCTAAGAGCATGTTGAAGGAAATTGGAACATATAACCTAGCTTAAAGAATGTCTCTAGCAACTAAGCAATGTTGTAGGAAATTGGAACATATAACCTAGCTTGAAGAATGTCTTTAGCAACAAAGCAATTTTGATGAGTTGTTGCTTAGGGCTAAGAATTTACCCAATCTAGATCCAAAACTCGAAATTCATATATTATTCGGATCTTGATATGGATCCAAAATTCAGATTCAGATCTAAAATTTAGATCCAAATATAAATTTGGATCGAATCCGAATACGGATAGATCCAACCGTATTTGTTTTAAATAATATATATATATATATATATAAAAGAAATGATTCTATAAGACTTTTTTCTAAGTAGGATTCCAAATGATCATTATTAAAGTTGACACAAATCTCTAAAAAAATCAATTTCACTCTTAAAAGATCGTCATTAAAGTTGAAACAAATCTCTAGAAAAATCAATTTCACATGATTGGGAGAAAATCCTATAAAATCATCATTATATATATATATATA